GGCTATAGGCCAGTGGGGTGCTATAAGGGTGGTGGCTATAGGCCAGCTAAGTGCTATAGGGACTGGGGGGTGGCTCCGGAGGGTCGGGGCGCTACAGAGGCTGGGGGTGGCGTCACTGGAGCTGTAGGGACCGGGGGAGGAGCCCGTAGGGCGCCGGGGGACAGGACCCGGGACTAGACTCCCCACACCCCAGCCCCCGCGGCCCCGGCTCCTTGCAAACCCTGCGCTAGGCGGCGGCCGCTCGCTGCCCGCACCGCTGAGCCCCGGCCCGGGCCCGGCCACAAACACACGGCGGAGGCGGAGCCCAGCCCGGCGCAGGCGCCGCCGGCCCGCCCAATGGAAAGGAGGAGGCGGCGGGGGGCGGGCGCAGGGCTGGAGGGCGGGCCGCGGGAGAGAGACGCGCTAAAATCCACCCCCAGGCTGAGCACGGGAGACAGACACCCCCGCACCACCCCTGTGCCCCTGCCGGGGGGAGCGCGCGCACCCCCCAAATCCACTCTGCCTGGGCGAGGGAAAACAGACACCCGCCCAGCAGATCCCGGGAGAGAGACTGTGACCCAGAGAGCGGGTCCCAGCTCCGTCCCACGAGGGAAGGAGGAGAAAGAAGCACTTGGAGCAACCTTCCCAACGTCCCATGCTGCCCTCCCTGCCCTGCCGCCCCCCAGCGAGAAAAATCCAAACCTTGCTCCGCGGGGTGGGATTTCAGAGCCAAGGTTTCCGTATTGCAACTGCCAAGCACTCAAACTATCACGAGATGTTTAAAAAAAGAACCGGTGGGGTCTTTTAATGTACCTTGGAAGCTTTAGGGTTTACAGTTTGAAGCTTTTCTATGCAATCAGAAGGGCTAGACACTTTTTTTTTAATGGACACTCGGAGGTTCTTTAATAACGTCACTCCTGAATCGGAGCCTTTAAGAACAACACCAAACACCAAGAGACTCATGAATTGGTTCACTGAGATTTTTTTTAAAGACCTAACGTTAGGCACCCAAATCCATTTATAGGCACCAAAATCCATAGGCACCTGATTTTCAGAAAGAATGAGCATCAATTTGTTTTGAATCTTGACTGACATGTTTTTACTGTACATGCCTGCAAGAAACCATATTATAACACCACTGGGCAACAGCTCTGCTTAAACATTATTGTTGAGCGTGTATTCAGTTATTTAAGTTTATTGCAGTAATTCTGTACAGCACCAGATGGCAGACTGCTGTCATTTTTTTCTGCCTTTTTTGACTGCATGTGTCAAAGCAAGGGATGGCGCTTGTCTCTGTGCATGGAGTGGTTTGGGTTCTGTTTGTGGTGTTCCTTTATGGAAACAAGCTTATCAGTTTCACAAGCTTTAGAGTACTGTTGCTGAAGCTCACTCAAACCTCCATCTTACTTTTATGTTAGGCCTTGTCAACAGTCAGAGCAGAATCATGCTGAGTTTTAAGAAAGTGGACAAGGTGGGTGAAGTAATACCTATTATTGGATCAACAATCTGTTAGTGAAAGAGAGAAGCGTTGGAGCTTACGCAGAACTCTTCTTCAGAATCTCCATAAAGCTCAAAAGCTTGCCTCTTTCATCAATGGAAGTTGATCCAAGAAAAGATATTACCTCACCAACTTTGTCTCTAATAGCCTGGGACAAGCACAGCTACAACAACACATTCTAAAAAAAAAAAAAAAAGGTTGCTGCTAGTGCAATTTATTTGAGTACAGTTTCCACGTAAAGCAGCTGTACAGGATTTTTTTTTAAACTGTGGTAGCACACACTGTGCTAAGGAGCTGCGGTATACTATTATTTATTGCATTATCTCAACAGCTAGAGGCCCTAATCAAGATCTGAGCACCAGGGTTTTTCAGGTGCTATACAAATAAAGAGTAAAAGATAATCCCTGCCCTGAAGACTTCACAATCTAAAGACTACCCCTGCCAGCATTTCGGAATCCAGTTTGTAGTATGTTTTACAGCATGTTAGGTTTAGACACAAGCCATGTTACAACTGTGTTTGACCATAGCTATGTTTGAAAACAGTTTCAAACATGGTTATAATAGAGCCTAGTATGGATATCACCTCAGGCAGGAAATTAATACAATTAATATGGATTTTATAGACATATGGAGTTCATTCTATCCAGGTTTTTGGTTATCTTAACCAGCTAAACCTTCCTCACTATCTAGCCCCTCTTCAGGAAAAAAAAAAGTTAATTGTTAAAGTATTTAACAAACACAAATGAAACTGAAAACATTAATCACGAAGAGACAAAATGTATCATAAGCACAATGATTTCTACTACATGTGACCATGTTACATGAGTTAGTAAAGCTGGTTGCATTTTCAGTTAAACACTTGGCTGCTAAACTGTTGAAAACCGCCAATTGATTGTGCTTTTCTGCTTTTAATAAACATTTATTTCTTCTTGTGCAATGGTGCTTCACAATTGCCTACACTGCACATCACTGAAATATCTTTCATTGTACACTGGTGTAGCAAAGGACACTGGTAGTCACATTAACTAAAACACCATAGTATAAGCCAACCTACAGATAGTATAAGCCAAATTCTGCT